GTCTTTCTTTAGGGGCGTCTTGGGTCCATCTCCGATTTGCCCATAACGCTCGTAGGTTCGAGGTGTGAACACTGGGATCAGCCGAGGGGTCCAGGGTGTCATCGTATCTCTGGAAGTGGGTAGGGTTCCTTTGCCGTCACATGCATTCAGCTGACGGTGTCGATGCAACAAGGTGGGTGCATCGTTTTTGTCACAGACCACAGGGAGACGCCAAGGGCTGTTGCTTGGTACGGACATGCAATCCTCCAGATCTTTTCCCACTTTGGTTCCTTACCTTCTCTTTTAGCTAAGGCACATCGTTTCGGGGTCTGGTTCACCGGGGGTGGTCTCGGTGTTATGTATGTCGCGAGGTTGGTGTGCCGCCAGCTTCGCCCGGAGCGACAGCTGAATATTACGCTAAGGTCTCTCCAGCTGCGTGACGCATTTCCTCCCCGAGGCGCGGTATCACCCATTGGAGGTCACAAAGTGCTCGGGAATTCTTCCGTTCTCACGGAGTTACGGTGGTGGATGTCCTGGTCCGCACTGGGCTTGCCGGGATCCGGTGATCGGCGTATCCACGCTTCCTTCACCCGGTTGTATACTATCGTTAGACGGGCAGGGTAAGTACCATAGGGGAGTTCGCCCTGTACTCGACTAAGGTTCGAGCCATATTAGCCCGCCTATGACGCGTCTCTGAATCCTGCCTCGCGGTTCTGCTGTGGTAGGTTTGTCGGCCCGGCCGGGTGTTACTCCGACGTTTCCCCGGACGCACACACCCTGGGCCGGGGATCATCGTGCGGGAGACTTGCCCGACCCCTTGGCACCAAGCCGGTTGCTCGTGAGCCGTAGAGGATGGCGTCTAGGGTCAAATGCTGCTGCGACGGCAGTGCAAAGTTGAGAGTGCAAAGAGAAGCAGCGATTAAGCGAGCAGATGTGTAGTTGGGACGATAAGTACACTTTTATATCCATTTCTGATGATTTAGCAGGCTGCGCCATGGACGACAATTTCAATTGTGCGGGTGCTATATAGGTTAATACCACTGGAGAGAATGCTGGTAAACAGGTCGACTAGCGATGATGGGATACAGCTAGGGTGTGCTGGGATGTTAGTCGGCAGTCAGGCGTAAGCTGATATTGTTGTTCACGGAATTAACACGTGGAATACGATAAATACGAACCTAGTGGGAAGGAGGGACACAGTAAGATAGTATTGCTTATGAGTAATTAATAACCGAAGCGCAGACAGCTTAGTCTTTTCCAGCGAGTACGCCAGGTTGTCCAATGAAAGGCAAGGCAGTGGATGCCAATGCGGCGCATATCCAGTTCGCTGCATCACACCTAATTTCTTCTGGCCATAGCGTGCAAAGTACGCTTTGCACGGCCGGCTGACATGCGGATTGCGGGGGTGACCTCCTGGTATAGCGCATGGTCTATCACAGCCCGCTCAATATACCGCTTTCGTTACATTATGTGGCGGGTTCGGGTAGGGTACACTTGCACCGATGTGTAGTGATGCACTTGTGCCCCTACTACAGTTAGTGGCTAGAGCTATAAGCAATACGTAGTAATAGAACTGCTGGTACTTAGGTGAGTGCGCCACCCGGCTTCGTTGGCGTGGCACCGCCCCTACATTAGCGGGCCCCATTTTCCCCATATAGTGGCTGACGCTGATCGAATAAGATCGACCAGCGTGTAGGCTTCGCGACAGTCCCATCGCCGGATTCTCTTTTAGGAATTCAAGTTCAGCCGAGGGTGGTCAAGAGTCGGTTTGCATTCGTGGGGCAGGGGAGTGAGACAACACCTTGGCTGGTCAGAGCATGGGAATTCAACACGCCCCTCTCAGAGCGTGGGTGTTAGGGTTTGGCCGCCACAAAGAATGCCCCAACCCGCTACATCAGTGTCGGGCTTGCGGTTTACCTGGCCCAATCGCATAGGTTGAATGACGTCGTCGACGCTAGGGGGGGGACGGTAGGCATGTGTAGCGGAAACTGTATCCTGCCTTACATATTATGTCTAGGTAAAGGGGTATACAGTGCAGGCGTAGCAGGGAGGGTTGGGGGGTTGACGAACCACCCCCAAGCAAAAAAAATTGTTGAAAAAGTTTGCAGAATTTCATTCAGTCGTCGTTTAGTGTATATTGCACAATTGTCCTTGTGCGGGAGGTGAACAGTGAACACCCCCTCCACACTCCCCGTTCGCGTCGTTTGGCTTCCTCGCTGTCGCTTCGCGAGTTCGGCAGGGGCGTGTAAGGGTCAGGGGTCCACCCCTTATGCTCGCGCAGAAAACGATGCTGAGGGGTGTAATTTTAAAAATTTTAGACCAGCCCCCACCCCCTGGTACAATCCGTGTCACGCCCTGCGAGCAAATGCTAATTGAAAACGATTACCACCCCCACTAAAGTCCAACATAAAGCTGGCTACGGGCCTGCAGTGTACGGATATATATAAATACGTGTGTGATATATAACGGTTATATATGTACCTAGCTACAATCTTATACGTGCTGCCAGATTTTGGGACTAAATTTTTGGGGGGGGGGAGTTGGTCGCGCCCATGGCGTCGCACTCACCCGACCCGTATGGGCTGTTGCTTGGCTACGCGAGTCTGCGCGCTTACGGGGGCGGGTTGTTCTGGCGCGCGCAATCATCCCCAGCCAGACGCGCAAACATACGCGTGTTGCGGCCGGGCGCGCGCAGGGCTCTCTTCACACATAATGTGGCAACAATGTACTCAGGTGTTTGTGTCTATATGTTGTTAACCGCGCAGAAAATTCGGTTGCGCGGTTTAATTTGAGTTTCGCGCGCCGGGGACTTTGGCGCCTACGAGACGTTAACTAGTTATGGAGACAGCGTCATCACCGTGCAAGAACCACCTGGGAAGATGTGTGTGGTGCTCAGGACTTCAGGCTGACTAGTCTGATTCCACCTTGATCACTTCTCTTGTGCCCATGAGCAACGCATTTTATACCAGTTTGCTTGGAGAAGGGAGTGACTTTGTCACTAGTGAGGAGATAAGTTTCCTCTGCCGCCCCTAGCTACAGGTTGTCCTTAGGCAAGGCATAGCACCTGTTTAGCCTCCTGTGCCAGGGTTACGGTGAAAATGTCTAATATAGTGGAGATGGACTGAACACAGCATTGAACATAACAAAATTGGAGGGAAGGAGAAACATAGTTAAAGGAGTGCTGCACTACTAGATAATCCACATCAAAGATGGTAAATATCTTTCTCCAGCTAAATATCTGTTAGTGACCTAAGGAAGATGGAGAGGAAGAAGAAGAAGATGAACAAAAAGAAGAAGAAAATGAAAATGAAGAAGGAAATGCCGCTGACGACGAGGCGACAACGACGAAGAAAAAGAAGAAGAAGAAATAGACTATGATGACGATGAATGGGAACGACCAAGATGATGACTTCAACAATGAAGAGGAAGCAAAAGAGGAAAGTCTGTTCATAGGTACCTTGTTTTTTTAGTCATTACAGCTCAAGCAAATCTAATTCAGTCAATTGCAATATATAGATATAAACGTGCTTGTGTCAAATTCAGTGATCTATATGACATTATCGGGTTGGCAGAACCAAACTTAACAATTTTCACCAATTTCAACCAACTATACATGTTCTGTCATTTTGAAGGTATCTGTTTTCAGATGGAAGAGGGATAATTGGTGCCAGAGTGTTGAGTCATGAGGCTGGGATTGGAGCAAGATGTCTTTTCCTCCATTCAAACACCATGCATGCTTATCATTTAGACCAGCGATACACAGTGAGTAGTTTCTGTCCGTGTCTTAGGGAAGAGCGTATCTTGTGGGCATGTATTAGAGTAAAGAGCAGCATATAGCGAGAGTGTTTGAGAGAGGGTGAGGAATAGGGGGTGTATTCATATATATGTGTGCATGTATGCGTACGTGCATTCATGCATGTGCGTGTGTGTTGTCTTGCTGATACCTGTTAGGTCAAATATCGAAAATTTGTACTGTATGGGAACTTGTATAATTAAAATACAATTGAATCCACATCTTTGACTGAAAGAAAAAAAAAGTACCCCCCTTACCCCTACTTACATTACCTGAAGCTGGTGATGCAGGTCGACCAGTAGGCGTTGCTGCTCCAGATGGCGTTGGAGGTCGACCAGTAGGCATTGCTGCTCCAGATGACGTTGCTTGTCTGGAAGACGCCCCTGGTTCGACAGACGGTGCTGCAGTGTCGACATCCCTCATAGGGCGCTTAGGCATGACTGGCTGACCATTCTCCATCAGCACGGGCCACGAGGAGTCCAGCTTTCCCCGTCTTGAAGGACCATGAGGATCTCTCCCTTGACCGACTCCAAAATGTCTTTGTCGTCCACCTCTGTCCCGTCGACCTCCAACACCACAGTCACTTTTCCTGACAAGCCAAGTTTAGCAGAACCTAGACCAAAAAAATACAGTTAAAAGAGGGATCTAATACCATATTTCAGTCTCTGCAGTGCATAGAAGTATTTCCTCATTTAAAGCGATTATTCCCCACTGTTTTCCCCACTGTCATGATACCTACCATTATTGCTTGAGTAACAGCAATTGTTTAGAGTAACAATAAAATGTCTTAGAACCTTCGTATTCACCGAAAACTGCCAGTTTCGAACTAATCGTTTTTGTTAAAATCGATCTCTGTCATCTTGAACTAACAGGAAGTATGGATTCGCTTGTGGCGCCACTGCTTATCTGCCATACCCACAGTATAGGCGCCCACTTGTTACATATTAAGATAATGAAGTCGTCATGTCGACATGTTGAGATAAAGTAAGTCGCCATGTCGACTCATTTATGTCGACATGTCGTGTTACTGTATATCGTCATGTCGACATGAAGACTTAATTATGTCGTCATGACGACTTAATTTATGTCGACACGTTGAGATAAATTATGTCGACAAGTCAACAAATCGATGGCAGGTTTATGCCACCGTACATTCTCTATAAACGAAAAAAAAAACAGAACAAAAGAGATATCAATACACCAACTCGCACCGGTGTTCATTACTTACCCAAGTTGCTCAAATCCTCAACCGTCTTTACCGAGCCAGGCAGCATCTTTTTAGTCACTCGAGAGGCATCCCAAATCTTGTAGAAAGCCATAAAGACTTACTGATCACTGTCTCAATACTGCAACAGTATACCACCATAAAGTGTGCATTTGCATGGCAATCCACTACAATGTACATGAAGTTAATCAGTCACCATTCCATTTCTGAAGTAATATTTACGCCACAGCAGTAGTATGGGCCGGGGTGGGGGCTATTTAATGTAATGTATGTGATGGGGGGTACCCATTCTTGAAGGGGGTATCCTTATAGACAATGTCTGCCAAGTCGAGCGCGAGAGGGAGAGCGCGCACCTCGCGCATGCGGCAACACCGCGCCACCTTCCGACACTATCCGACAACTATGCCGCCGTCACATATATTTAGTTAGGGGGAGGGGCTTATTTGATTTGGGGAGAATATGACACCAAAACACACAAACCACCACACATCATTCCAAAAAATATTCCACCCACACACTATGTATGCGTCTAAACACCCATGTATCTGTGTAGTGGAACAAAGCAGAATACATCCATCCCCTGAAGTAGCACACAGGTATTTATAGGGAACGGGTAACCTGTAATGACATTACAAGAATTCTGCCCTATGTGAATACTGGTTTATCACACACCACTTTCCTTTGTGCATATGCATGTTCAGGGGCCATTTGGAAAACAATGTCACTTGTTTCTTAATAAAAAAATGTCCAGACATCTGCAGTTCGAATGCCAATATGTGACCGTTGAAATCCAAAACTGACATCTCTTCAACAATGAAATACTTTACATCGTCTTTTATCACAATAGCGTTCCTTATTCCAAAACTAGGAACATCCCCAACATGATCTAACACTAGGCAACAACCAGTCCTATAGCTGTGCCCATGTATGGCAATGTGCTCTGTTCTGTAGACATGTGCTGTGTCGGCCTCTGTCAAATTGGCTGACGCTCGAAATGCGGCCTCTAGATGGGGAAATGCATTGCTAAAGACAATTTCTCTCCCCTCCGATACAATATCTCCTGAATACAAGAAATTCTCAGAAGGCTGTCCCGAAAAAGTTGTTTGCTTATGGCACATGAACTTCTGATGCTTGATGCACAGAGTTTTTGGAAGGTTTTTGAAACACTTGATGTTTTTGGTCGTGAAGTAGCTGTGCTTTCTCTCAAAGCACATGCACCAGTGATTGCGCAGTCGTCCATACTTGATCATCTGTGACGGTAGATGAACCAGGTAATGCATTTTGGGGATCACCGACACTTTGGGATACAAACTGACAAATGCATGATTGTGGTCGTAGATCAGCTGTGAGAGTTGAGCAGCAGTCGTTCGATCACAACACGGACTTGTAGCCAGAATCGTTATCTGAGTAAGGCGGACAAAGTTTTGCCACCTAGGGTCCGTTTCGGGAACTTTTACCCCAACAATAAATGGTAGGGTAAAGCAGAGGGTAAGCATAGCAGCTGATGTCTGCTTGATCTTCCCATCTCCATTGATGTGCTGAGAGTCAATTTTTTCTGGTTTCGACCCAGACTCTAGATAACCATAAGGGAATGACAACACCCTTGCACTTAGCCATCTCAGTGTGAAATACTTCTCCACATGCGTAAAATTATATAGCATGATGCTCAGCTCATAGGGCACAACGCCCTCAAGCAGCAGGTGCATGGGGTCTTGTGCCATGCCAGAACAAAGTGAAAATCCTGGAACATCAATCAGGACACTTTTAGAGTTAATACCCCACATCTTGCTCCAGTACTGTCGAGTTCCTTTTATCAGGTGATTCAGAGTTTCACATCGCTCTCGGTGCTCTGCATCATCTCTCAACTTGAAATCGCTCTCCGAGAATTTTCATTTCATTTCCTTTCCAGATGCAACACACGTTCGACATGCTTTAAGCGCAAAAGCAACACCTTTGAACCCACCCAACCAATTTGCTGCTAATGTGTCGCATGCCGCCATGACAAGTGTGCCCTCGATATTGTGAATGTTGCCATTTATCTGCATCGGAAGACCACCTGTCGCTAGTGTCTGCAAAGTGTCGAGGAAATCATGTAACAAACCCGAATGCAGGTTTTTTACATCTCGTGCTTTGGCAACAGCAATCAGCTGAATACAGGTCAAGCGTGACCTGTACTCTGGAGGTATGTTACCCAAGGTAAAGTAGAAGAGAGATAGCTTGTGCTTCTTTGTATGCGATCCAATGGGGTTGACAATTTCTATGTCGTCTGTATTGATGATTATTTGCAGCGCTTTTTCATTGCGTGCAAATAATTCATGATCTCCCAGGTACGAACCATCGCATACATCACGCATCATGGGACCTTGAGATTTGTGGCCTGACTGTATGAAATGCCAAACCGCTGGTAGAGAGGGAAACCGCTGCAAATTTTCCTTGAAAGAAACAATGTAGCCTAGTTTGTGTTTGCGAACCAGTTGTCCTCGAACTGTGGTAAACTTGGAACCCAGTTTTACCTCCTCTGGTTGTAGCATATTGTACTTTTCAGTATAAAACTTGTCTCTCCTCTTTGTAGTACTTTATACATCCACAAATGTGTCTGTATCAATGTTTGAGAGAAAATCACTTGGAAGATTGCGTTCCTCTAGTGCAAGTTGTACATTGCGTTTAAATAGGTCAACATGTTGTTCGACTACAACCGAAGTTGTGAGCAAAACATCATCAACTGCTCTTTGCGTCATATTATGATCTGATTCTAATGCAATACAGTACTTTGCCATATACAGCTGCTTTTGTTCATCTGCTGTCAACTGTTGCTGTATGGGATCCTCATAGTCCCCACCCTCATCATCAACCTCCATTGCACATTCAATGGCTTCATCAGGATTGTTAATGACAGCCTCAACTGCATGCTTATGCTTTCTGCTAATGTGGGTTTTAAAAGCACCCCATGCTTTAGTCGTGTAGGGACAATTGGGATAACCACAATGAACAATAAAATTGGGGTCGTGTCTATGAGCTCGCACAACGTGTGTTACAAAACTGTCATATCTATCGGTACTGAAACAGCACATTGAACAACCAAAAGTTTGTGCTTCCATTGCATATTGTTGTTAGCTCATCTGACATAGTCAGATGCAGCTTGTAGAATCGCATGATTGTCCGTCCGTCCATCAACAGTTGGGCACAAATCTTAACCGCTCGACGTACGGTCACGATATTCGGCACATTGGGGGGGGGATCGTCAAAACGAGTTGGGATGTCGAAGCTGGGGGTCAAAGGTCAAGAGGTGTAAAAGAAGGGGGAACATTAACTCCTTAACTTAAGGTATAGGGAGGAAATGCAGAATTGCGGCACAAATCTAAACGGCTCGACCTAGGCTCGTGTATAGTTGGTGTATAGCATCATGGTAGGAAAAG